AAAAGTTAAAGAAACACCCAGGGCCACACAAGAACCAACGGGGGGGGGGGGGGGGGGGGGGGGGGGGGGGGGGGGGGGCAATGAAACAATGAAATGAAAGCAAATAAGCAATCTAACTAACATATTCTGGATGTAAAAGTTCAGATGAGACCAAAATTGAACTTCTTATCAATATAAACAAAAGTAACTGTTCATTACCCTAAACAAACTATCCTTACAATGAAACACAGTGATGGCTGCATGATGTTGCAAGCACAGGAATTAATAACAGATGGGGGAAAAAAGTGACCTGGTCCAAGAAAAAATCTTAATTGAAAATCTGTGGAATTTAACTAATTTTGCAAAGAAAGGAATTACATAAATTTTTATACACTTACAAATATTACAACTGTTATTGCAAAGTATTGATTTAGGGGCCATTAATGTAAATGTACACCACAGGTTCCAGATTTTTATTTTATAAATTGTAATTTATTTCCTACTATTGATTAAAGTCCAACTGAAATACATTCATGGTTTTCGAAAACTCTTTCAAAGCACTGCAAGTCAATTTTGTCTTTTTAAAACAGTAGATTATTATATTTTTTTCTCTTTCTCTTCATGTAACTTTTTCTCCGTCACTCCCTTGGGATCCTCTCCCCGGATGATGGTTTCCACAGCTGAAGCCTGTGTGGGTGTTTTTGCTAACAGTGGTTCGGATTTATCTTGGGAGTAGTGGTTAGGCTCAGAAGGACGTGGGAGGAGGGTGTTTCAAGTGCACAGAGGTCACAAAGAATATATGAGCGCAGAGGACAAAAGGATTTGTAAAAACAAACAATAAAAAACAACAAGCCAGAAATTTGAAGACAGCATTTTTTACATTATGTGGGTTTTTTTTAGGCGTGCTAAAATGTTTCTCTTTATACTTCCCATTTTTTATTACAATTTTTTAGACAATTTTTTTTTGTAATTCTGCAACTTTTTACAGTAACTTGACAAAACAATAGGCAGAGCAGTCTGTGGTTAAACTACTTGAGTTTGTTTAAATAAAAAGAAAAATATTCAAATCTTCTGGTATTTTTTACTAAATTATCTATTTAAAACTCTTTATGCAACAACTCTGTTTGGGTTTTAAAATCGCTTGACAAACTACCTCAGGAATAAAACCGTTAACACATCAAAAGTCAATTAATTAAACTTTCTCTGCCACTTCAATGGCTTTAAAAAAAATCAAAAACATTCCCATATCAAATCTACAACTAACACAAAACTTTCTCATTGAGTCAATAAATCAGTGGTTACATGGCAATTTATTTTCTTAAATATAAATTTAAGAAAGTTACTTGCACTTTTTGGAGAACTTTCTCCTGGTTTTGGTTTTTCTTACATCAAGTTAAAGAAAGCTCCTGCCGGAAATGCTGAGAGTCAGATATAACATATTGCATACAGGGATCATTTCTGACTTAAAAATACTGCATTGATTAATTTGACCTACATCCACTGCCTGAGGAAGTGAAACTTGACCTCAGGTCTGCAGCTGTAGTGTAATGGTGTGTTGAGTCATACATCTGAACCGTTCCAGAGTCCATCAGTCCATTCCAGAGTTATGAAATTTATAAATGTAACGCACACCCATCAATCCTGTTTTCAGAAACAATGGGACGAAATTTACTCCAGTGAAACA